TTTCAACCGATTTGCGTGTTTTCATTTTTTCTGAAATAGCAAGTCACTTTCTTCATAGCATTATCTCAGAAGCTTTCTAGTAAGCATACACTGCACAGATATAAGCGGTAGAAGAAAACTACTCAAATTTTGTATTTTCTGTGTAGGTTCATAAAAAAGCTGAAACCTGCAGTAAAAATCGGAGCAGTCAATATTATAGTTTCTTTCAATAACCCTTCATAGCTATGCAAAGTTTGCGCTGATTGAGCATCTCTATGAAAAGTTATGGCTTTCGAGCAAGCAGTACAAAAGCGCGAATTTCATTTATTTTGGCGTTTTTCTCGAAAATCATAACTTTTTATGGAGACGCTCAAACAGCACAAACTTTGCACAGTTAGAAAAAACTGGTGAAAGAACCTATAATGCTAACTGCTCCGATTTTTACTGTAAGTGTCAGATTTTTTATGACCCTGCACAGAAAATACAAAATTTGAGTAGTTTTCTTCTATCTTATATATAAAGCTGAATGTCTGTTTGTCTGTATGTCTGTCTGTCTGTCTGTCTGTCTGTCTGTCTGTGTGTACGTATGTTCCGAATAGAAAATTCCATTTCTGAACCGATCCGGACCAAACTTGGCACACATACACTACGGGCCCCGGCGGGTGTCATAGGCTACTTTTCGTCATCGATCGATATCGATTTTATCGATTTTTATCGATTTTTTTGCTGAGTTCACCTACGGGGCTGGGAGTTGGCACAGGGGGGTAATCGAGCATGGGGATTCCGAATACAATATTGGTTTTCAGGATTATCGATTACTTTTATCGATTTTATCGATTTTTTTGCAAAGTTTGAGCTACGGGGCTGGGAGTTGGCACAGGGGGGTAATCGAGCATGGGGATTCCGAATACAATATTGGTTTTTAGGATTATCGATTACTTTTATCGATTTTATCGATTTTTTTGCAAAGTTTGAGCTACGGGGCTGGGAGTTCGCACAGGGGGGTAATCGAGCATGGGGATTCCGAATACAATATTGGTTTTCAGGATTATCGATTACTTTTATCGATTTTATCGATTTTTTTGCAAAGTTTGAGCTAGGGGGCTGGGAGTTGGCACAGGGGGGGTAATCGAGCATGCTGATCATCCCCAAGGGGGGTGATCAGCATGCTCGAACACCCCTGTGCCAAATTCCAGCCCCCTAGCTCAAATTTTCAAAAAATCGATAAAATCGATAAAAGTAATGGACGATCTTGAAAACTAATATTGTATTCGTAATCTGCATGCTCGATTACCCTCTGTGCAAACTCCCAGCCCCGCAGGTCAAACTTTGCAAAAAAATCGATAAAATCGATAAAAGTAATGGACGATCCTGAAAACTAATATTGTATTCGGAATCCCCATGCTCACTTCCCCCCTGTGCCAACTCCTAGCCCTGTAGGTGAACTCTGCCAAAAAATCGATAAAATCAATAAAAGCAATCGATAATTCTGAAAACTAATATTGTATTCGGAATCCCCATGCTCACTTCCCCCCTGTGCCAACTCCTAGCCCTGTAGGTGAACTCTGCGAAAAAATCGATAAAAATCGGTAAGATCGACATCGATCGATAACGAAAAGTGGACTGTGACACGCGCCGGGGCCCGAAGTGTATGTGTGCCAAGTTTGGTCCGGATACGGCGGAGCCGGGTAAGCCAGCTAGTCGCTTATATTTATGCAGTGGATGCTCAATATAATGTCGATAAGATACCGCCATGAAGAGAATGATTTGCTATTTCAGAAAAAATGAAAACACGCAATTCGGTTGAAAAAGGCAGAAGTTGTAAATTTTTGAAAATGGTGCGAACGAACTTTCGGTTCAACCTAATATAACAACGCGCTAAGAGTGTTTACGTGTTTTGTGTGTGTCTGTCTAAATGTCTTTCTGTCATGAAATTCGTAGAGCGTGTTCCAGCAAACATCCTGAGCTCAAATTTTGCATTGCACTTGCTACTTGCATGAAAGTCCAACATGCAAAAGCACAAGCAGATTCGTTTAGTAGGTCTTTTAGAAATTGTCAAATGTATCCACTTTGCATGTGGCCCACAAAATTGGGTCCGTAATTCCACTCCAGAATAGTGGATGTTTATGGCAAGTAAATGTGCAAGCCATGAACTTAGGTACTAAAAAGTGATCAAAAGTCCATTACTTTACAAAAAGGCGCCAAAAAGTATTGGTTGCGTAAATGGTCAGTTTGCCAAGCCTTTAACAGAGCATTTGACGAGATTTTTGCAAAGAAATATAGCTCACGATGACTACTTTTCTCATGGCAACTGTCAAGAGAACCATGGGAAATTCAAACCTATAAAAATTGCGTTTGTTCTCCTGCGAAAAGTTCATCCACGCGAAATGCCCGATATCTCAAAAAGCTTTCGGAATGAGTAGCTGTTTACATTTTGTTCGTGACACTCGGCATTGCTTGGTAGGTTTCAATGCCATCATTATGCGAGAATGAGTAAGGCCTAGACAGTAGAGCCAGTGCGAGCCTCTGCAAAGCAGAGGTGAAGCACTGGTAAATAATGACAGAAATAGAAAATAAAGAAATAGAAATAGTACACAGAATATAGGGGGGCGAGTGGCGTAGTGGTATGAGGCGCCGCTATGACCAGATCGGACACAGGTTCGATCCCCGCCCCTGGGCCAACCAAGCCCTCTAACCTCCGGAGACGGTAAATTGGTACCAGAGTAATTTGGGAGGATAAAAGCACTGACTTGAAAACGGCTGCCCTCCACAAGCCATTTTGATAGGCTCGCACGCATACAATTGCCTCTTCGACTATGAAGTTAGTGTTTGCGTTCGGCAGGCAGCTAGGATCAGCTGAAGACGTGACCCGGGCCAGACCGGGAAAACCAGCTAGTAATCATACAAAATCAACATCGACGACTTAGAAGATTACTACATGTAATTAGCTTTACATTTCAACAATTCTTCCTTTGGCACCTAACAAAAGACGCTTGGGAAAGCTGTCTACGAGGGCGCTGGGGTCTCATGTTAATCTCCTTCTGATCTGTTCAGAAGCAGATGCCCATTGTGCAGCCAACTGTGGACGCTCTGAAAAGCACCTTCAAAGACTTCACAGTCTTAGGTCTCGAACATAGTTCAGACGATTTTATCGTCTCGCGACCCTTTCGACAAGCAAGTGCTTGCATTCCAGATGCGATAAGTAGTTGCGATTAGTCATGACGGAAAACTATCATCCGAAATGCAGGAGAATCGGCATGCGATGAACTGGTAACAGTTGTCTTGTTAGGAGAATTGTTAGGCGTTGAGTTCGCATGAACTATGCCTAAGGCCATACAGCCTCAAGAACTAACCAGATGCTATAATTAATGGGGGTTCAGCGGCAGCGAACACAGGGCCGATGAGCTGCGGAAGCGAAAACGGGAGTCAAGAGTGATGAAGTTCATAACGCCTGTCTGAAGCCCTTTTGGACAAGCTTCGTCTTGTGCGCGGGTACGCTAACCTGCAGAAAGTATCAATCTCTGTCCGCGAAACATTCATCAGACAGAGTAGAGGAGATAGAGGACATTAGCTTGCCGAAAAAGGAAGCCCACGCGGACATTTGCAACAAACCGCGCGCATTCACCGTTACTGCCGCGTGCTATTTGTCCGTGTGGGTGGAGCCTATTGTCGACCTAATGACCTTCATCCGCTTTTAAGCTGCGTTCCCTTCTCAGAGAGGATGGCTAATGCATGCTGCTCAAGCGAATCATATTTACTGGCGGCGGCGCATCGCCAAAACATCTGCAATTCGCAGTTGCATGAGATATGACCCTGTTCTCAAACTCGGCAAAAATTCTAATGAAATTTCAGATTTCTCAGTGACAGCACATCCTCAGTGCAACCTCCAAGCTTCTCTGATTCACAGGACTCTTCGGCAGGTAATCGTGACTTTTAAGGTCAAAGTCTCGTAGTTTTGAAATTTTTTCAAAATTGAGGTCCGCATGGGTATTTTTACAATTGTGAAGCCAACAAAGGTGCAAGGTTCCGGTTGTCCGCATAGAGAAAGGAACTGACAGAGAGAGTTCGCGTAACGCTTGCGATCCCTATTAGCGGATAGTGGTCGCAAATAATGTAGCGTGCTTACAAAGAACACTATTTCACACACTCTAATACTGATCAATTCGGATTTAGTGATGTCGCATGAGCTTAGCGCTAATGTCTGCTTGATCTATAGAGCTTCATCGTTCCGCAGTATGATGCCACAATGCCACCGCTTAATTCAATTCTTAACCTCGCGACAGGACTATTCTTTCGATTTCTGATCGAAGCGTATCTTTGCAGCTCTCGTATGGTTTAAAATGTCAGGTTTCTGGCTGAAGCTCTGCTTGAATGTTTTCCAACATGTGTCGAGATTTAGTGAAGTTTCAGGCACAAATGGCTGTATGCTAACGACACGCAGACGGGTCTATCAGTAATGAAACTGTAAAACTTGAGCAATAATATGGAAAAAGCTGCTGGAAATACTCAAAACTGAAACTCACGGGAAAATTAGAGAAAAGTCCTGATTTTTCGCATTCTCAAAACTTTTGCATGCTTTAACTTAAACAAATGGCTGTGGAAACTACGCCACGGCTTTATTAAACGCATGAAGTAGGCCTGAACAAACATAACGAGGAAAGGGACGAAAGCACAAAAGCATTTCTCCAAACACATGCAAGCAGAACGATGCTCATTTTCTACTTTAAGATCGTTCATCGCATCAAAAGAGGAAAAGGAGTAAAGGAATGAGAGCGAGAAAAAAACAAAAAAAGCAAAAACAAAACCTAAGAAAACAGTAGAAAAGGGTCGAAATTTTCCAGCTCTTGTTAGTCAAAACCGCATGAGGATGCAGCACACTTTTGGCAGAGTCCCGACACAATTCAAGAACTGTGTTAGAACTACTTCGAAACTTCCAAAGCAGTATGAGCACAGCCTTAGACTACGCATCCAAGAACAGTATTGCGCTAACAGGTAATTAACCCGACTTTTACAGAATCAGCGAAACTCGGAAGAGGAACGTGGATAAACCAACTAGAATCACTTTTATCCTCCATTACCCTGACTGTTGGGTTGGGAAGCCTCTGGAGATTTCCGGCTCTAGCCTACCATCACGGCGGCAGTAAGTGACTCTGTCTTCTAGACCGTATATGGGCGAGCTGTTTCATGCGCGTTTCTTTTGCCGTATTCCTTGTGCCTGTTGTTATTTGGTTTTCCGATGCTTTACTTGGAGATGCTAATGGGACAGTACTCCAATGAAGGTCCAACTACCCTATTTGCACACTATGTACCAGCTTTTCAAGGTAAGTGCTGGGTGCACAGTTTCTGCATTATATGCAGGGTAAACGATTGCAGGTCTTGGATGGGCAATGGCACTTATATGCTTCACGGTTGCCATCTATTATTGTGTAGTTGTTGCTTGGTGTTTTCTATACTTCTTCGCCATCATTAGCGGTGAAACAGTAGTTTGGAGTAGATGCGACAATGTTTGGAATGATGTCTGTAAGCACTTTCTCACTGTATTGAACTATATCGTAAGGGCCAAGTGACCCCCTCTTTTTGAGATTGTATTGAGACAGAGGCTATGAAAAAATGTAAGCAACGTGATCCATCAAAACCAATAGCATTTAATGGATCATGCATTGCTTCCGCAATCGAAGGGCTCAAAACGCCATATGATCAGTACTTCACGTATGCTAATTGCCTATACCTACAAAATCTAGAAAATATGAGGTGATTTTTCATAGAAATGTGATGACGAAGAGATCGTCTGGAATTGAACATTATGGCGGAATTAACTGGTCAACTTTACTTGCACTAGCTATCATATGGATATTTGTTGGTCTGATACTATTGAAAGGCTACGTTTATCTTGGAAAAGCCGCATATGTAATAGAATCTCACAAGTTTGTCCTGACATTGAATCCATTCATTTAGGTTTTTTCTGTAGCTCCTTTTGCAATTGTTTTCGTTGTGTTTTGGCGGGCGATCACATTAGACGGCGCAATATTTGGGGTATACTACTACTTTGGTACCCCAGATTTTTACACCCTGCTTCACCACGAGGTTCAAAACCTTCACTATAATTTCTAAGCAGTTTACAAGCTTCCAGAGCATATCAATATCTCACCTTTTGTGGTGTAATAAGAAACTACAGTATAGCTTAATTTCAGACTTGGACGGAAGCTCTAATGCAAGTGTGTTTCAACCTTAACGTCGGTTACGGAGGAATTATCGTTGTTGCCTCTTACAACAGAAGAAAAAACAATTGCTACAAGGCTAGCACTCATTCATCTCATTACTTTAGTCGGCACAATTATCGCGGTGATTGAGGAGAGCAAATCTAGCCGTAGTAGTGCTCTACTGTTTGATACAGTCACACTTTTACATGCCGGGTGAAACTTCTGTGGCAAAAAATCTCGTTATTTATGCTTCGCCTCTGCTCACGATTAGTGCTCTACGAGCGACAAGCAGCAGTGTTGGAAAAATCCAGATGGACATTTACCTCATCGTAGTGGCACCAAATTGTAAAAGATGGTTATAGCTATCTTAACAAGGATAAAGATTCGGCGTCTTCAATATCCTTTGTGAACAGGGTAACGCACTCTATTTCACAATCCAAGAGCCTACTGAATGCGTGTGAGTCTTTTACAGTGACTTGCGGGGTCAGCCGAGTCAGTGCTTTTATCTCCCCAGATTACTCTAGTACCATTATATTCCCGGAGGGTAAAGGGCTTGATAGTCCAGAGCTATCTTATAAATGAAAAGCACATATAGCATATATAGCACTTAATCTTGGCACAATGATAGCCTTTCGAGAAAGATTTTAGCCCGGCCCAGCCTCTTACTCCAGGGTAGGGGACCACATAACTTTAATAAGCTCCATCCGGTGCAGATGGCTGCTACAAATCTGTAATGGGTATAATATGCATGACTGCGTGCTTCGACGACACATTGTTCTCTACCTTTTTTATATCACCGTGACACCTAACCCAATGATCGGGGCCTGTTCGCTAGCTACAATACCTCTCACCAAATGTGCAACATTCCATATCTCTCCATTCAATCCTGCTGTGTCAGACTGAATCATTTTCTGCTAAACTGAAGATAGGTGAACTATTATTGGGCCTTTCTATAAAGTGCAGTCATAAGTCATGTGCAAACGTCTACTGAGCCAGCGAAACGAAGATTTATGAACAAGCGCCTGTATAAATATTTTTCCGGACAGATGATTTATATTGATAGCGAAAAGGATCTGGAAGATGAACCATAAAATTGGAAGGACAAGTTGAAGGATGCGTTCAAGTCCAGAAGGTCAAGTAACAACTGACAGAAAAAAGTTTAAGAAACCATCATGCACGACGAGCACATGTAATTGTTAGCCATACAAGCGACAACGAACGTAAACTTTGGGTCATGGTACAAGTGTTCAACTTATGTTTTGAGTTCAGGTGTCACGATAAAACACCAAAGAATTTACACCATAAATTCAAGTGATATTAGCCAAGGCGGAAATCGGAAGCAGCACACTTGTGCACTAGAGATAGAAGTGACATCTCAATTCCAGCAATTGAGGTTATTTTATAGGTCGAAAAGACGGTGTTACCGTTAGCTTACTATTTTTAACTTGAAGGACCTTGCATTAAAGGCAGTACATCGGCAGAATGAGACCCGTGACAAAACAAGGTCACAGGGTAGGAGCCCCCATATGGAATTTGGCCAAAGTCCGATCTTTCTCTCCCACTTCTAACACCATGGGATGGGCGGGGCCAGAGAATACAGGAGATGAGCGCTGCTTCCGCGTTGAAATTTCGGGGGTTAGAAGTGGCAGAGAAAGATCGGACTTTGGCCGATAGGTTCCATATGGGGGCTCCTACCCTGTGACCTTGTTTTGTCACGGGTCTCATTCTGCCGATGTACTGCCTTTAAGGATGGTTTGCAAATATCTTGGGCCCGTATGCATTAAAGTGATGAACAGCAGCAGCCGGGACTCCGCTTTCCTTGCCGCAGGGATTTTCATTTATACGGGCCATAGTCGTCGACTATTGTACCCTATTACTGAAAAATAGGATATGCGCGATATTCAAAAATGTAATGCAATGGCAAGAAGAAGCTGTTTTGAGAATGGAAATGATTATTCCTAGTAATTCACATATGTCTTCCACATCCCATTATGTTCTCGATAGCGAAGTCATCATAGCAACCCTTGAAATTTTAGCACCTGGAATAAAAGAAAAATATGCCGTCAGCTATAATTAAATTATCTGATATGCGTTGTACTCGTTTTGTGACCTTCATGAAGTATTGCTTGAAAGTGTATTTGAGATGCAGAAAAGTCTGCTTTTGCAGGACGCATGGGTAGTCGTCATCGCAACCTTCGTGATGAACATATTTGGTGGAGTCGTCGTTTTTGCAAGCCTTGGATACATCTCTAAGCAGCTTAACAAGCCCATTAATGGAATTGTATCTAGTGGTAAGAAAACAGCAAGAAAGCTCAGATTGCTCACAGTGGTGCTATGACATGATTAGAGAAAACCATTGTTACAAGTCTTATTGACTTATCTCACGATAACAAAGGCGCCAGCCATTACTGTAGATCTTATTTTAACAAGCATTTTAAACTCTCTAGCTTCTCGAGAAAAATGTTTTTATTTAGGTTTATCTATAGCCTTTGTCGCCTACCTAGAAGCAATGCAAGCGATGCCATATTCTTCTGTATGGAGCATGTTTTTCTTCGCTATGCTTTTCCTTCTTGGATTTGGCTCCGTAATGGGTGAGAATGTTGATAGTATGACATGTGAAAAATGATGCTATAAGTGAAGTTTGCTAGAGAACGTCACAAGGTTACAATCTTCAAATAAACGAAGAAATTTTTGATTTGCAAGGGCGGATTTCGATGAGCGTAACCACTGATATGCAACAGTATAAGTGCCACTTGAAGTGAGACAAATAAAAACAACAAAAAATCGATGCAAGACAGCGATTAGCTTTCTCGTGTATCCAGTTTATGAGGCTAAAGAAAGTCTGAAGTTTTAGGTTTAGGCGGCTTTGTCCGGCTTGGCACCATGGTTTGCGCTATACCCGAACTCCTTTAGCCACTTTCCAACAATGTTCCTCAAAGCTATTTGAATCGTCTTTCCTTACCTGTGTGCAAACTAGGGAAGTTATAGGTGTCAGTCTTGCCGCTTGCGCCAATACGTCAACATTTTGCACATATGATATGACCACTATTATCAAATTATGTCACGTCGGATAAATCGTAAAGTCTAGCGATATAGTCAACCCCGCACGTCTAAAAATAGATATGCTCTAAGATAGATCAGCCTTTGAAAAAAACGAACAGGATGGAACACTTGTCGAGACAAATCCGCCCTACAGTCAAGTCCTGCGGTCACTTGACTCAGAACTTCAAAACAGTGTCTGAGCAAGAAGTCGACTTTGAGGTTTTGTGCTTGCCTGGGCCTATTCGCTATGGTAAATTCAAAAATCCTCACTGGAGAAAGCCGTGAAATGCCGAGAAAGGGCTTAATGCAGGAGCTAAGTCAGAAAATGGGTGAGGCCTTCCGCTATGGAAGTCCCTCTCCCAAGTTTAGAAGCGATCTCGCTTTCGCAAGCCGCCCTAACGAGTGACAACAAATCGGTACGAAGATCGTTCCCGAAGCTGGAGCGCGACTTCACAGAGTGGAAGACTTGACACCACTGACTTCTCTATGTTAGAGCCCTTCTTCGCTGTTTTTGCGCTCTTAAATGGATTTTCAGATCTAACATAGCGAATAGGCCCAGCTAAGCACAAAAACTTAGAATCGAATAAATTTCTTGCCCGGGCACTCCCTTTAAACAAGAGCAAGCATGGTTATGTCGACGAATTCGAAACGCACAAGCGTACCCTGATCGGCGACGGCAGCGACGCGCAGTTTTCTCCGCCGAGCGCGACAGCGAGTACGAACTTTGTTTTTTTTGCTTTTTTTGAAGTTTCAGACGCCGATTTTTGTAGGCTTGTCTGTTTTGCATTCGTCCCGACTTTCAAGCGCACGATTATTGGAGCATGTACGAAAGCAGAACTGGAACGCTTGGTTTTTTTTGTGAGTTCTTTGCATGCACTATGCGTAAAGCGTACCGGTCATGTCCACAATAAAGTGGAATATCAGTAGAGTCGAATAGATGTATGACAAGGGTGGAAAGAAAAGTAAACCCGCCTAGAGGAGTTATACGTGCTGATTGTTCATTGATAAAGTATTCTTTTCAGCCTTGATTTATAGATTCAGTAGTTAACATTATCAAGAAGCGAAAAGGAAATCTATCGATAGCGTTATTGATGAAGTTACGGTTTCTTTGCAAACTTATTGCCAATTCTGGTTCCACCTGTTTGTAAGTGTAGAAAGCAAAATAGTTCAAATTGGTTTTCGGGCGTACTTTTCACCAAAAGTTGGAATTCGTTAGAAACCGTTGTGGTCCTACACTACTACAAATATAGTTTGTGCAAAATATGTACTTTGAGGCTTGGAACTATAGTAAGGATTTTTATGACGAAGTCAGATTAGCTACTGAGGTGTGAAGTTCCTGAATTGCCGCTCAAAAAAGAATCGCGGCGGCTGTGCTTGGACAGGCTTCGCCGAAGTTCACCGAATTCTTCGCATCAGGTCTATATTCAGAGTGGACTAGTTCTGAAGATTACCATTCAGCCACTTCGACATGGCACGTCTTTGTATAACGTAACAGCTTTACCTTGGGGTAGAGTAGGTAACGTGGAAGATAGTTTTTAAACTTCTTTTCCAGTTTTTGCTTACATAAGCTGCTTGACAATTACAAATTATTTGGTGCTAGAGGACATTGCGAGACGCGGTAGGGGTGGATTTGCAAAGAAATAAGCCACCATAAATATCTCGCCTTTCTCTTTTCAGCAATTATTTCTCGATTTGGTTGCTCCTCGAAGTTACACCGAGGCTCAACCTGACGTTTTCATCATGTACAACTTTGACTAATTCCCATTCTTATTACGATCCCAAACATAATATGCTGACCGGCGGATAGATCAAGCACTTCGCAATTCAGTGTCTTTTCGCAGTCTACGCGGCCTTTTTATTTTTATTTTTATTTTTATTTTAGTTTACACTCTAGGTGCACCAAAAAGCAACCAAACATCAAACAAGAAGGCACTAAGTCCGATTCAAGACGCAACCAATTATAACTGAATCCTTGCCATCTCTAAAACTTTGATAGTTCCCGATTTAGAGTGTCAGCGAGCCCCCGGTGCCAGGCTAGCTGACGTAACCCACGAATAATGATGATTCTGTTCTAGAGATGAGCAAGATTCATCGGAATACAAGAGATATCCGAGGAATTAAGTTGCGAAAACCTATGTAAAGCAACACAAAAAAATAAAACAAACAACGTAATAAATAGATAAACAACACAACAGCCGTAGAAACCATTCAAAGTCCGAAAGCTAGCAACAGACAAGATTGATCTAGACAATTGTTTACGACACCAGTAATATCGATGTAAAATCAAGATTTAATTATCTTCGACGTAGCTTCTCCGGTTCCGCTGAAAAATAAAAGCATGAGAAACAAAATATAACTACGAATCTAAGAGTACATCCAGATTAACTTTCCTCAGTCCCAGTTTGAAGCTGGAAGCACTGGAAGAACCAAGAACACTTGAAGGGAGATGCTGTAACCACCTCGCTCCTCGATGGAATAGATTGTTGTACGCCAGCATGAATTTTTTTCTTTTTATTCTGGTGTAATGCAAATTGAACGAAAAAGACCGTGAGCTGCTAGGCATAAATATCCAGTATTTGCTTGCTGAAAGTCTGAGTTCCTTACGTAATACTCGAAAGCAAAAAATCAAGTCAGCTATTTTCCTACGGTGTTCTAGGCTCATCATATTTAGTTCCCTAAGACGGTCACTGTAAGATGGAATGTTGCTAATGGTCATGCCTCTGTAGCATCTAAAGTAAAGCAAACGCGTGAAAGTTTGCTGAACTTTCTCTATCTTTTTGACATCTTTCCTGAGGTGTGGATTCCACACCTGCGAGCAGTATTCGAGATGGGGCAGGACATAGGCTTTGTATAATTTTTTGTAGATAGTCTTATCTTGGGAGTGTATGGATCGAAAAATGGCATACAAAACATTATACGCCTTTCTGACAACAACATCTATATGCTGAGAGAATTTGAGGGACGAGTCAAGTAATACTCCAAGATCTTTAGTCAAACTACATTCAGCCAACTTAGTTCCATTAATTTCATAACTAGCTCCTTCATTTCCTCCGATATGCATGACCGAAGTTTTCTCAAGGTTGATGGGAAGATCCCATTCACTTGACCAGAGCAGCAATTTTTCAACGGAAGTCTTGAGCGCACTATGAGTTTCTAAATAGGTGGAGGGGTCATAGATACCATAAATTTTCACATCGTCGGCATACATCTGTACCTTAACTGAGGGCGATGTTTTCAGTATAGAAGGCAGATCCATGGTATACAATAAGAAGAGTAATGGTGAAAGTGCCCCTCCCTGAGGAACTCCACTTTCACATGGATGCCTCTTAGAGCAGTTAAGGCCAACCTTCACAGACATGTATCTATCCCTCAAATATGATTCTAGCCAACAAAGTAAATTTCTAGAAATTCCAATTTTTTTGAGTTTTGCTAGGAGTTTTGTATGGCAAACTTTATCAAATCTTTGGAGAAATCTACAAAAATAACATCGACACACAGATTATTGTTAAGCGCCATCGTCCAATCAAAAATGCTATCTGCTAGATTAGTTGCAGTACTTCTCCCTCCCAAAAAACCATGTTGCTCTTTGGGGATAACATCGGATTTCAACAGCCACGACGTAAGTTTCTCTCTGAGGATTTTCTCCATAACCTTGATTGACGAAGAGGTCATGCTAATCGGACGAAATTCGGATACTAATTGTGCGGAAGAAACTTTAGGAATAGGGTAATTAGGGATTCTTTCCACAACTGAGGAACTTCTCCAGTAAGCATAGAAATGTTGAAGATGTGAGCAAGAGGTTTGCAAAGCGTCTCAGCACATTCCTTATAAACAATTTGCGGTATGCCATCAAATGGTTCTGTCAATGAAGGCTTCAGAGTTTTCAAAATGAAGACATCGGAGGAATTGAAGTATACATCACATAGCAGTCGACGGGTTGGAACTGAATTCACCAACTCGTCAGTAATCATTATGGACTCTTTTCGATCGAAAACACTGACAAAGTAATTCGCAAGTACATTGGCTTTTTCAGTATCAGTATTGTAGCTCTTGCCGGTCAAGTCTTTCAAAACTGGTAATCGACAGTTTCCTTTTAGTTTAGAACTCACATAGCTAAACAGTTGTTTTGAAGATGCACTAAGAGTGAGCTTTCTCTCTTTATACGCAAGAAATTTTTTTAGGTGGTAATCGATATCTCTGCATATCTTTTTATATGAGTCATTGTTAAGTGGACTTTGAAGGTGCAAAAAGAGTCGATTTTTTTGATCTAATAGATTTTTTATTTGCTGAGGGTACTTAGATCTGGAATTTATATGGATGCGAAAGGGTACAAAAATTTTGAAAGCTTGGTATACAACATTGCAAAACCTCCGGTATACATCGTCAGCAGATGAGTACTGGCTAAACACGCGCAACCAATCAACGCTCTGGAGATAATGATTTAAAAAAGAGAAATCTACTCGCCTAAAATCAGGCAAAGGAGGAAGATTATGATAACAAGAGGTTTCATTTAAGGTAAAACTGATTACGGAATGGTCGGAGCTAGCGAGAGGTGCCATGATTTTTACATTTGACACAATAGGTGATGACGAAAGAACTAAATCAAGAATATTGAAAGCAGGCGTCGGGGATTTTACCACTTGCTCCATGCCTAGATCAGCAAAAAGGTTCACGAATTTTGCAGATGTATTATTGAGTGGATTTACACGGCTCCAGTCTACCTGCAGATTAAAATCGCCAATAATTACTGTGTTCGAGTTTGCACTTGAGAGATCAGCCAGTAGACAAGCCAATTCCTCATCATCAGTCAACTGGTTACTAGGAGGACGGTAAACTAATACAGTACGTATTTTTGAGAGCATGTTTTGTGTGATTAAGTCAGCGCATAAAACGCTTCCTTTCGTTGAACTGCGTACTTCTATATTCTGAACCAAAAGTGTTGCATAAGCCAACAAACAAACTCGGCCCTCTTTACGAGCACTTCTATCAGAGCGAAGAATAGAATACGGTAAATCACCTATTATTTCGCTATCAAAAACCTTAGGAGAAAACCATGTCTCAGTAACAAAAACGAGATCCGGTTTATAGTAGGATAAAAATGCATGCAAATGGTGAATTTTGTTTAATAGACTTCTGGCATTGAGAAAATAAGCTCTTATTTTATTCTGAGACCCGTGCAAGCTTACGCGTTTCCCGTTCTCCGAGTAGCCAGATCACTGATTTTTACGAGTTGCCCGCGGTATACAACCCATTCCTTGCTCTTTTTTCCTCTATTACGTTCACGTGCTGCCTGCCTGAGGTCATACTCCGACTTGCGCTCTTCCTGGGTCATGCTGCGACGGAAATAGACACCAGGAAATCCAGCGGTACGGAGCGAGTGAGCGTTGGTGAGAGCGCGCCGCCAGTAAAAGGTAGAAGGTAGCACCAGCTTAATGAGCCTCGGGTGGGATGGACTGGGTTTACCCAGCCAATACAGCTCGCTGGGTGGACAGTCGATGTCCAGCGCCTCCAATATCGAGTCTACCTTTTCCTGAAGATAGTTTCGCCGTTCAATTGCTCCCAAGTCTGCAGGCGGCTCCTCTACGCCGCTTATTACAAGGCTTCGGGACTTCTTCTCTTCCTCAATGACGGCTGACAACTCCTTCGGTATTTTTTCCGCTAACACTTTCAGCATATCCGTCAGGATGGGATCGCGACTTCTTTCAAGCATTGAAGAGATCAAATCCTGTACGCTCATGCTTCTGTACTCTTCAATTCCGCTTCCACTGGCCTCTAGATCCAACTCTTCATTTCCTCTAGTCGCACGTTGCGAGCCACCTGAAGGTCCTTTGCTTTTGCTTCCACGAGTCGTTTTGACAGGCATTTTGATCTACCCAACGCAAATTATCGATCACAAAACTGTCCAAAAAACTCAACTCAGTAAAAAACCGGCGAATGCAGGACAAAATCTAACAGGTGACTGGAGGACCGTGTGGAGCCAACTATATAAAGAAGAAATTGTCACAAAAAATGACAAACGAAAAAACGGAAAGCGTAAAATTGACAAAAGTGCGAAAGAGCAAACAAAATGCGGCCGCTCACTAACTCTGACAAGAGAGGACTTCTTTTGAAACTGATAAAGGTAACATTTTGTCGTGACCAAGTGCGTTAGTGGGAGGTTGAGCCTCAGATGTAACGATGCTTCTCCACTGCGTAATATTTCGGAGAAATATCAAACTGTGAAGAAGGCTTCTTGGAGATTCGCGGACGAAGTCACAAAACCATCTACATATGTGCGCATGGCTGTACCCGAAATTTTAGACATCAACATTACAAAGCTGTGATTGCTCCACTTTGTGACAATAGTGCTTGTTGCTGATCGAGTTCGGAAAGCCTTGTCGAAAGCAAATTTGGAACACACAAGCGTACAAAGATCGGCGTCTGGAACCTCAAAAAACGTTTAAAAAAACCAAGTTTGTGCTCGCTGTCGCGCTCGGCGGAGAAAACTGCGCGTCGCTGCCGCGTTGCCGATCAGGGTACGCTTGTGCGTTTCGAATTCGTCGGTTATGTCAATCAATTCAGTTCAAAATTCTAACAATCCCGCCATGTAAATTCAAAGCGCTACAGTGCATCTAATTGCGTCAAAAAGAATTTCTGCGTTTCTCCTTTCTCTTCCATCTCTAACCAGCAAACCAGCCCTGACAAGGAAGATCCGATTAGTCGAAGTGGCCTTTTTGAATGATGCTTATACCACCTTGAAGAACATCAAACGTTGAATCCAAATTTGATTTCATTATATGCCGAGCGCCTCTACAAGCCTCGTTATGAGTACTTTCTTGGTGAAGAAAGGAACGCATAATTTGGGCAAATTCAAATTTCACGGTCTTTTCAGTGCTCAAATATAGCAGTGTTAAGTACCAGTGTTTTAAACAGATGGTTTTGTTGAAAGGGGGCTCTATGATAATCAACATTGGACCATTTGAGCAATTCTGACAAGTGTTTAATTACGCATTCAGTTTTTCAATTTGAAGAACGCTCACAACTCGGCGTCCAGAGGCGCTCAGCAGATAAAGAAGACAGATTTGGAATCAGCGTCAGCTCTTTATAGTAGTATCAAATTCATGTAAAAAGCCACTTCGACCAAATAGACCTGCCTTGCGAGAGCCCGCGAAGTTTTTTTAAGCGGACGCGCCGCCCCACAATAGTGACTTGAGCCTGGTCCAAACCTAGGACAGATGTCAGGGCCGCAAATAACGCTTGAGATGGCTTATAAAATGAAGGTGTCAGTAGAGTAAGTGAAGAAAGCAGTCAATGCGGGACTGTGACCGCATTATAGCATACGATAGAGATAGATGAGTTTTCTTTGATGTCTGTTTCTCTTTCCTTATCTGCATATAGCCCTCTCACGGTAATGATGACAATGCAATGATGCTTCTGGTTATGATGTTGCTAAAAATGTTTTCTGTAATGAAGTACAAAACAAAAGTTTAGTTCTGTTCAGATTTGTTGTCATTTTTGAGGCTGAAATGGTAGCACGATTGCGCGTCTACACCCTTGCAAAAAAACATAATTCTAAACGCACTTATCTTTAATAGGACTTACCATGAAAAGCAAATTTACCCATGAAGCGGAGTTACCAGAGGGATTGTTTGGCTAGAGGTGGCATTTCCCGGTCATTTCTTTGACAAAGGAGCGGGATTATACGCTAAATTTGGAGTGCGAATATTCCAAAAGAAAAGACTGTGAATGATCTTTTGTTTATGAACCTTGACTAAAAAGCCCGCCGATTATTTAAGTGAGCGCCGAGACCATTTGCACATGTATTTACGATGAGTGGCCAAGCACACGAAGTTTTAAATGGGTTATAGCATTTTTTTGTTCAGCAATTCACTTATTTTTTGGAATTATAATGACAACCGAGGTTCGTTATTTATGCAATTATTGATAAGCCTCAAGATTTTTTCTTTAGAGCGGATTCTACTGGTTTACTCTACTCGACGAGTTTAGCGGTTCAACTTCTTTATGTCTTATCGTTTCAATGGAGGCCTTCATGCTCATGCATATTTTTGGTTAATGTGACTGTTTTGTAAAATTTGCTCATGCATCATCTTCAGGCCATGTGCATGTGTACGAGATCATCAACGAGATTTTTGGCGAAAGGTCGGGAAGTATTCTATCCATGTTAGGTCCTCATTCGCGTCTATGGGAGATTTGCTGGAAGTTTTTTATTCCAGCCATGGGATTGGTAAGGTCTAGAAGGAATAAAAAATCACTAGTGGAGGTCCGAGAAGTTTTTTGTGGGGGGGGAGGGGGAGGGGAGGGAAGAATCCAATCAAAAACACCATGCCTGCTGAAAATTTCAGAAAATTTCAGAAATTGTTCTACTTATTTGCAAGTGTAAACAAGTCTTAGGGCCGCATGCATTAACATCCTCACCGGGAAGGGATCGCAGCTTCAAAGAAATTTTCGTATCTTAAAGCTCGAAAAATCTGGATTTTACGCTGTCTATCTATCCGTAAGTATTCCCACTGTCGTTCATAACATATTGAACAAGTGTGAAATCGTAGGAGCCACATTTTCCATTTTCCGCATAATCCCCTTATGATCCCATCGTGATCATAGGTTCGATAGTGTGAGAATTTTCTCACACCCTCTTCACCCCTGAACCGGGACCAAGGTGACCCCCGCCGAGAAAAAAATCAACATTGAGGTAAGGTTAAGCAAAGGAGATATTTGTACGTGAATTGTTTATGTACAGGAATGGTGGAGTCTGTTGAAAAAAGTGCTTGGTGACGGGTATGAGTAGTGATTTCTGGACATTTTGGAGTTTTAACATAAAAAATTCACAACTTTTGTAAATGAACATCTTTTACGGCGAGATAGTCACCATTGGAACCGTGTCTTCCTCCGCTTTCAGAAAGCATATAGCATATATGAGATCCGTTCAAGAAAGTGCGGTGAAGGGTGTGCCTAGTGATTTTTGGGAATTTTCGAGTTTTTAACATAAAAAAATTCATAACTTTTGTAGATGAATAACTTGTACGCCACGATGGTCACCGTTGGAACCGTCTCGTCCCTCGCTTTTAGAAAATATATGCTTCGCCTGGCGTCCGTTAGAAAAAAAAAGCCGGGTGAAGGGTGGGTGAGACTTTTATAATGGGAGTGCTCAAGTACAGGCTTTTTTACCATTGTAAAAAGACGTCTACTTGAGCACTCCCATTATAAAAGCCTCACCCACCCTTCACCCGGCTTTTTTTCTAACGTACGCCAGGCAACGTATATATTTTCTGAAAGCGGAGGACAAGACGGTTCCAATGGTGACCATCGTGGCGTACAAGATGTTCATCTACAAAAGTTATGAATTTTTTATGTTAAAAACTCGAAAATCTCCAGAAATCACTAGGACACCCTTCACCCAGGCACTTTTTTAACGGACTCTAGGCAAAGTATATATTTTCTGAAACCGGAGGATGAGACGGTTTCGAAGGTAATTTGTCTTGGCGTACAAGGTGTTCATCTTCAGAAGTCACGGATTTTTCTATCTAAAAACTCATAAATATCCAGAAATCACTACCCACACTCTTCACCAGGCACTTTTTCAACAACCTCCAGGCAAACCATATATTCTCTAAGAGCGGGATGCTCGTCAGAAATATAGTTGTGTGCTAATTCAGCAGCACATCGGCTCACATTTCAGAAAAAAGATAACCAGTGATGGTAAGGAACAAATTATGAACTTTGACTAGGAAAAATGATGAGAAAACACCATGGCTCCCCCCCCCCTCCCGTCGACACTCTACCAAGTGAAACACCCTTAACCCTGGAGAGGCTGCGACCACTGTGACCTCCTTCACCCTGGAGGAGTCATTCTCACCTTATCGCACCTGTACTCGTGATCCCCGGCGGCTGACCGTCTTTTCTCAGAGTCGTTTTCTTTCTCCGCAGTCAACGAAAACATTTCAGAGTTGTACTGATTATCTAGCCGAATAGTGCTGAACATTTTTTGATAAGAACACATGACGTATTGAAGTTAAGAAATTTGCGATGAATCACTAGTCGAAAGTTGGGGTTTATTATATTCAATTTTTCATTAACTCATTTGTTCTTACCGGCAATTTGCTTAGCACTGTTGAAATAGATCAGCACAACTTTGGAATGCTCGTTGTCGGAGAAAGAAAAATGACTTTGAAGTAAAGACGGTCGGCCACCGGAGATCATCGGGAATCATACAAAAAGCTAGAAAATGCGGCTTGTACAGCTTTTCGCTCCTTTTCAATAAGTTTATGGTGGATAGTGGGAATACTTACGGATAAATAGACAGCGAGAAAATCAGATATCCGAAGCTTCAGTAGTGAAGCTCTCATTTAAAGGCAGTGTCCAGGCTAAACCTAACCCCCTCCGATTGATGTCGGTCCTGAATGTAAGCCCCAGAAAAGGGGCATCTGCGTTGGTCCAGTCTTGTAACGTTGTCTCTGAATGGAGATAAGGGGCCTGAAAGTCCCTGGCTGGGCGGAGTCTGATATAAGACTCCGCCCACCAGGGACTGCTCACTACCTTGTCAATACGTGCCTCCCGACACGTATTGACAAGGTAGTGAGCAGAAGCTGCACACTGCACACTGCAATGCAACTGCACCCATGCAGTTGCAGCTCCTTCCCGCTGACCTGCCGACGGGGACGAGCAATTCGAAACTCGTCCGCGCCCTCACGACTGGGTCCCCAAGAATCGGGTTTTTTGTAAATTTTAGAGAGTTTGAAGTTCGGAACTGTAATCTGGGCCACGGAAAGGCCCCAGAATGACGAAAACATGGGGAGCCAAATGCTGGGTGGACGCTGCCTTTAAGCTGCGACCTCTCCCCGGCGAGGATGTTAATACATACGACCCTTAGTCGGCATGTCGAAACACATCATATAACTCATGTAGCTACTTCCAAATTTAGCGACCCATTTTTGATAAGACCTCTTCGGTTCCCATTGAAACTCACTTATGTCATTAATCAAAACGCGCGACTACTTTACAGATGCATGTTCTGTTTACTGTTATACGGAAAGACCCAAAAGTTGAGGATTATATGCGACGAGAAGATTTCCCTTTGTGGGCATTGGTTGGTTTGATTTTGTACGATGCATATTCATAAAAATACAATCCATAAATTTTGATACATATTGCATACTAGCGGCCCAAAAAATGGTCGAGGCTGCAATATGAAAAGGACAAGGGATTTGGCGTCTTTAAAGGCAGCGTCCAGGCAAGATCCATCCACCCAGATTAGCACATAGTTGTAAAGAAGGGCTCGTGAGTATCCGATCTGCGTTGGTCCAATCCTTTGACGTGCCCTTTAAAAGGAAATACGCGCCTGTGATACGTATCACAAGCCGCCCCTTCGTATCACAAACCACCCCTGAGGACGAGTGCTTACGCAGGTGTGCGGTTGCATTGCAGTTGCATTGCAGTTGCACTGCACACTGCAATGCAACTGCATCCGTGCAGTTGCAGCTTCTCCCGCTGGCATGACGATGGGGACGAGCAATTCGAAACTCGTCCGCTCCTTGAAGAGAGGATCTCCAAGAACCGGGTTTTTTGGGAGTTTAAACAATTTGGACTTTACAACTGTAATCAGGGCTACGGAAAGGTCCCAGAATGGCAGAAACCTGAGAGGCGAAATTTTGCCCGGACGCTGCCTTTAATATTTTTTCCGCATGGATTCTATTTCATAGTAGAAGAAGCTTTTGTGTAGCCTTTAAAGTGACTTGCGAGGGACAGCCACTTTCAACTCTGTAATTCAATTTTCCCAGATTACTTTGGTGTCATAGTGGGGTTCATACCATCGCGCTACTCGCCTCTTGATAGGCTTTGGAGAATTAAACTAGCGTCGTACACAACTTTCAATAACCGTTCCTTTAGTGATTATGATCGCGTGAAATTTGAATTGTTGACACTGTGGTTTTATAGAAACCATCCATTATGGAACAAGGAGCAGATGTTGTAAGATCAGTGCCTTAAACCGATAATTTCGAAGTTGAGGGCTAAAGTAGTTACAGTCGCTTCATTTCATATGAGCATATGTGCCATTGCATGTACAGTCCACTTTGGCGTCCTCATCCTGGATTTGCAATCGCAAAAACGTAAGAGACTTACCGGTCATCGATTACATCAATTTGAGGTGACTAGTAACTAAAAAAGAAAGAAAATGCTAAGAACACCTTGGAAACACTTACCTGAAAGCTTGTTTCTCCCACGAATCCAGGATGGGGACGCCAAAGGTGAACTGCGTGTGCAATGACACACATGATATGAAATGAAGCGACTGTAAATGATTGGTTTACATAATCTGACAAGGAGCTCATTGTCTCTTCCACAATCTTTTTTCTTAGTGATTCGAGAGTTACAGAAGAGAACACCTTAGCATAAGCCAGCCTGTAGGCGTTTCTGAATATCCTTTGTTCTTTTCAAAAAACATTCTTGAAATATAGTGTATAGATCGTACACTATAATAGCACCATTGCGGCATTAAAAAAAGTTATTTAAAGTAGGCATAGGAAGACTTCTGCAAACTATAATCCCGGAAAAGCGACATCGTAGTTCCGTGTAGATGGGTAACACCAAGTGAAGTAGAAATGGGATTCTGCCTTCATACATACGCGGTGCTTGCGTTTCCTAGGTAAAGTAGAAGTGGGGTTCTACTTTCATACATGCGCGGTGCTTGCCTTTCCTCAGCGAAAGTCGCTCAGGTTCAAACGTGTTATACAGCGCTGGCCATAATCATAAAGCCACTTTAGAATTCGTCGTAATTTTCGTTCTTGTCAATGAATCTGTCTGAAACTTTGCTGTATTGTGCGCATGTCAACTTAACATGACCTCTGAAAACGGCTTCCAATCTTGTTGAGTTTGAACGGAGAAAAACGAAAAAATTTGAAAAAGCTCTTAATGAAAGCGGAACAAAATTATAAAGCCGTCTGGTTTTTCTAATCACTATCGCATTCGTTGATTCTCAAATTTTTTTGTACAATTACATTCCAAAATATGAAACATTTGCAACACCTACGGCCTGTCATCCTACTCAAGTAGAAGCGATCACTGCATGTTTTGCTTTCGAAGGCATTGTGCGTATTGAATAAATAAATAAATAAATAAAAGTCAATCTGCTTTAACAAGAAGCTGGTTTGAGGAGTTCTTAAGCCTTGTTTATTTCAAATGATAGCAATAAAATCTACTGAGCATTTCCGATAGATAAGGTGAGGAGCGCTTCCACAAACTTCGCGTAATCGCTGATATTGACGGACAGACTCCAACCTTATTATAGCGTTGACGCACTTTTGCATCACGAAACTCGATTTTCAAGCAACCGAAAATACTGTAATGTAGCCATTACGACAGCCGTACAACAGTGAACATGTGCGCATGGCTAAAAAAAAATTTCGGGACTGAGCACTCTAGTTTCAGCCGCAGTTGACATCCACTGAATGAAGCAAGAGATCAGTGAGACATCCACTTGAAACAATGTTTGTGCTTGTTCTTTCTAATAGCTGAACTTATTTTGACGGTTAAGGAAGTCTCAAGCCTCTGTCGCTGATTGCTCGACTTTCTCAAAGGAATTTGTAGCCGCATTGCAAAGGGTCCCAAAACGCCATTCCTCGCGCTGTACGCCTAATCACAGGAGCTAAGTAGCTCAGCTTTTTAAAATAGTGGTTATTCGTCGCCGTGGTAAGCGGTCAGTTCCAACGTCCATCGGCAAGTCGATCTACCAAGCTGTGCTACCCCAACTCAGTACTTCGACGCCATGAACGACTGACTCTGCTGCCCTGCCACAGGCAATGGTGAAGCTCCAAGGGCTTTTCGTTTTTCTGACTGATAGCATTCAACATCTCAGTCGGTTGTGTTCATATTGTGTCTGAGTGTAGGGCTCTTTGTTAGGAAAAATGGTGAGCACTTGAATGCTTGTGTGTTGGTTGATCCGAAGGGCTACAGTTCGACTATAGCTCCGAAGAATATCGGGTTCCGTTGACTATCATTACGAGATAGTCTAGAAAGTTACATCCGTGAAAAGACTGGCACGATACTAGTTAAGTGCCTGACTTATGGTGACAAGTCCCAGGTGTCAATAACAGAGGATTCCGTGCAAGCTCTGCTACGCTGAACTCTTCACGCAGGGGACCCGGTTCCCATGCGCCGATGCAGGTGAGCCGTAACTACTGACATATGGGCATGCCTCACACAATTTCAGTCGCGACGCGATTTGGCAATATTCCAGTTGCTTATAACTCGTCGCAAACTCAATTTGAGCACATGGAAAATAGCACATCTTATCGAATCACAAAAGTCAAATACACCAAGCATTTGTGGTCTGCAAATGTTGGGTCTGAAGAGACCTGGCAAATGGTAGAGTCACGTGGCGACTGAAATCGCGAGAGGTATACGGAGGACCTTAGGGAGCTGCTAGCTCGATCCGCGACAGCCTTAGTGTTTTAAATTCAAATTTGAAACTTTCCAAAACTGCAACCTAGGATACCTCGTAAGAAGCAGCTTTGGATTTACCTTGGAAATTTTTTGAAAACTCGTCTGATATATAGTACGAGTGCCATTTATAACTTTGTATCGTTTTTAGGCAGTTGGTCGATGCCTCAGACTATTACCTCTCCTTCCCGTGCTAGTCTTCTTCATCGTTAATGTTATAAGATGGAGAAGGAAAAAAATGGTAAGTGAACGATATCTAATAGGGTTCCGTCTTTTGATCCATTTGTGCTGAAAATTATTGAGAAAGACTGATTTCTTTTATTATGGAGTAAAAACATTACAAATATATTGTTTTTTCACATCATAGAAGTTTTTGAACTTAGTTTAAATAAGAGCTTTTATTTCTATTATCTGCAACCGCACGATGTATTACAGGGTGTCCCAAAAGTCTTTGAGCCTAACTTCCCAATGGAGTAACTTTGTTAGTATTCCTCGCTTTTTAGTCATATTTTGCGTATAAGTACTTCTTCTAATTTTTGGTATTTCTCAGAAAAAACCATACCGTTTGCGCTGTACACTCTCAAAATATTGTTTTTGGAGCAAACATTACTACGATTTTGAGGACGACCCAATGTTAACGTACCCTTTACTCAATCATGCCTTTAAAGCTCTTGCGAAGTTTTAAAATGCGTATTGTAGAGCTAGTCACTCTACGTCTACAGCGCAAAACTTATCAGTAATCTCGTTAATGCAGGATTAAGATACAAACACCCAAGGTACTGCCGTGCCAATAAGAAGAAAAAGTTCTCGGAAACAAAAATCCGAGAACGTTGGAAATTCCGACACCAATTTAGTTTAAGTCACTAGTTCTAGTAGTAATCTCTGCATTTCATACCGAAATTCAGTTTAGAGTCATTTCATGCATACTAAAATTGCTGTTTTCTTGATGTTCTCAAGAACTTGATTGCTACATTTTGACACTTTTGTTAAATCTCGCAGACGTGCTTCTCAGATCGAGCGCAACAGCCTTTGACTTTTCTTTGTGATCGGTTATGGAAAGCAAGGCCACCTCTATTTCACACTAAATTTTGGGCAGTTTGGAACTCCTGCTTCAGAAGGTTGAGACATTCTCGACGTCAGCATTTTGTCTGCCACGGTGCATGCGTTCCGCAAGAATTTGAGGGCTTATGTGAAGGCCAAATAAGAGTTTTTCGAAAACTGAGTGTACCATATTATTTTGTAGGTTCTTCGCAAGATTCCTGCTCAAATTCATATTACAATGTTGCTTCCTACAGTTGCAGCTGAAAATATACTAGGCTCAAAGACTTTTGGGACACCCTGTAAATGTCATGGTCCCTGTTACATTAGGTTGTTGCAAAATGTCCGTTGCAGAGTTTTGATGTGAAATAACTTTGTCCATTCTTCATTTTTTTGAATGTATACAAGACTATTAGAAGCAGTAACCTAACGCGCACCTGCACATACTGGTACGCAAACGGGAAGAAAATTATGCGTCAAAAAACGGAAGTTTTTCTCTTAAAAACCTTGTCTTTGAGAGATTGCAACTCTCTTCAAGTCGTGTTTCTATGGCTGCTAATTAGCTCATTTTGTAGACGCAAGCCAGTAGTGTACTTATATAGAAAAAACTTCAACAAAGGGGACCTGCGGCTTAATTTTACCACTGTTAGAAAGTAAACAAAAAAGCTTTCCAATGATTATGCAGAATATATATCGAAACAGAGATAATGAAGGAAAAAAGTTGTTCGGAAAGGCTTAAAAACGGACAAAATTTTTGCAACAGCCCAATACTTTCACCATGTTACATTTCACAACATAATTATTCAGCTGCCATACCCAGCTGAAACTCCTCCGCCACCCACCTTTTTATACTTTTCAGTCGCTCAAGACATTATTCTTTCAACCAGTTCAAACTCCGCGAGACAGCAGGAGCGACCAGAAAGATATCTCTTCGAACAAATCAGGTGAAAGCGGACGGCTCCCTCCATGATTGGAAAGCAGAAAAGATTTTTAAAATTGTGTAACCTTCCACCTTATCATTATTATTAAAGTGTTTTTAACAAATTTGCGTTAGTTGTTATTACGTATAAGCCATCAATTGATTAGGCAAACCATTTGCCTGTGGTCTACATAACTGAACGGCGAATTTCAACGAATAATTCAAAGTCCACTCTCACTTCTTGCTACTCTTATGGCTGTTATCAGATTTGGAGCAGATATCTGCTACTTTTCCCTCTGCCAGTGCTTTTTTTAACAACCACCTGCTCTACATCACCACCAACACGATGTCAACTCAGAAGACCTTTACAGCTTAACAAAGGCATTATACTGAATTGAGGAAAGCGATGAACACATGGGTGATTTCCACTGCTCAATAGTAAATTATAGTTCCGGAAGTTGTAGTTTACTCGTTCTCAAGGTGATCATTTCAATTTAAAAATCGTTTCAGACCCATAAGCACCTTATATTGGAATGTGAATGTTTACATTAGATTCGTATAATCGAGGTTTGAGAGCGCACTGCATTTCTGTTTGTTAAGGGGTGAAATATTCGATAATGTGACGTTTTAGAAAGGCCACTCATTACTTAAAAAACATGATCATAGTAAAAATACTTGGACTGGGATATTTAAATAGAAACCTCCCATGCTTTTGCTACACACAGCCCAGCACAAATTTATTAGTGTTAAAGATTGTTTGATGTAAATAACGAAACGATCGTGAAACACTGACGTGCTTGTATGTTCCTTCCCAAAATTGCAACTATGCTCCGAGAGTTCTAAATTTTGGACCTTATCGACATGAAATATTAGGTGGCGGAAAGCTATCATATAGATAAGGAATCGAATCAAACCATTACCTTCCCTCATTTTTAGGCTACAAATAGATCTAAAGTGACTTTAACAAATGTTGCGCACCAGTTCACGACTGAGCAACTTTAGAGATGCTAGGGCTGGAGTAAGTTCTAAGTCATTTTTTTAGCTTGGTTTGCTGTTGGTGGTAAAGCAGAGAGATATCCTTGCTACAAATGTTTGTAACTCATAAAGCTAAAGTAATGCTTTTGATTTTCTTCTTGCTGAAGGTCTTTTGAACACACTTCTGCAACAAATGATTATTTCCTTGATTTTATTTGACTTTTGTAACACCTATCTCATTACACATTCATAGAGGACTTCTAGATAACCGTAGGATATCATGGGGGCTTTTTCAAAAATGTTTCGAAGCCAAACCTGCCAACTGATTTGCTTTCTTGGACCGATTGATTTGGTGCTTTGACTGAACATCAAAGCACCAAATCAGTCGGTCCAAGAAGACAAACCATGCAAGTCATCCGCTGAGTCATCTGCCGTCAGCAAAAACTACTTCTTCAGCTTTGTGTAGAACTATAAATATTTAGGAGTACTCAGCATGCTAAGCGTGACTCACGTAGAAAAAAAAATGAGATATTGCGTTAATGAAATATACCAAACTGTTTATAGAAAATTATCTTGACCCTTTATGTTCTTGTTATAAGCATGCTGTCAAGCCAAAAGTCGAAGTGTCCAAATCAAAAGTCTGTACACCATTGGATGCAGCATAGAACGTTGACTAAAAATCTATCTTCCATATCCGCGAGATGCCTTTGCGCATGAAGTTATGAGACATTATATTGCAGAAAATTTTCTGTGTAAAGTGCAAATCTGAACATACAGATCCATTTTAGCCTAGTTGTAATCTAGGACACGCGAGAATATGCAAAATTATTTGGGGCCGCACGGTCCTTTCTGAAGGACCGCACATAGGTACTTTCCGTTGGAAGGAAGTATCCCAAACTCGGGTAATTGAACCATCGACGATAACAATGTTGTGTAGAGTGTTACCTTTGCTCGACGTACGCCCGAGACTGCGTAAAAACAGTCCAAGCACCTGCTGAAAGTTTGGCTCGCGCTGGCTGGAAGAGATTATTTGATGAGCGCTTCCAGAAAACTTTGAATTGCTGCCCGCTGGCAGAACAAGGAAGTACCGCTCACTGAAGGTTTGGCCACGCCCCAAAATTTGCTGACGCTTGCAAAAAAGCGCGTGTTTGCGAACCGCCTGCCTCCGGCGATTATCTGAGTTATTGTATGCGGCTTGTATGAATTAGCCTCGGTCTGAGATTTTGACCATTTGTTTGTGAGCAGTTGTGATAACAGATAATCAACACAACTCTGTCATAATTCATCAGATTCAGAGAAAGAATGACTCTAAGAAAAGATGCTTTGTCGCTGAGGATACCCGCACGACAGTGGCGCATTGATCTTTCGCGATCTTATATGAGCTACAAAAATGTGCCAACTAACTTCTGTTCATACTTGTAAGCAACTTGAATAACTTTCAAAACTTTTTGGAAATTCATTGAAAATACCTTGTAATAATATTTTTCGACGGCGACCATGCCCCGTTTTGTGGAATCTCGAAGTTATGAGCAAACAAAATTTTAGGACATCCCAAAAAATTTTAGGTACAGTCTGCTCCAATCGGGATCAGGCCGAACCGTCGGCGTAAATTTGGGCGCTTGCAGCGCTAAGCGTTTGCGCTGCATATGCGCGCTGTCGGAAAGAGCAAAAGGATAGGAGAGAGCAGAGAAGCAGGCCGTGAGCGTCACCGCGAAACCCTAGCGACGAGGATTCCCGCCATGCTAGTTTGGGCCTGGTGGGATTGGGGCAAACTGTAATTGTGGTCAACGCAACGCACCTTTCGAGAAAAAAATTGTCGCGCCCCTTGGCTGGACCCTTTGGCTCAAGTAAAGCGCGCTTACAACCAGTTATAAACAGTCATTGCAGTATAGTCGTCCTCACCCCACTAGTCGGCTCAGTGCACGAATTCGAATTCAAACTGGGGCAGGCCGATCGCGGCAGAGCGCGCCACTCAAACCCTCAGTTCAAAACTACGCATATTTCTTTTTGGTTTTTTACACTGTTGCTTGTTAATCTATAGGCGCCGTAAAACCTAATTGCCCGCGCCGTGCCTTGAACACCAGCGTAAGCGAGCGGTCGTCGCGAACGAATGTCGGCGTTCACTATATTCCAGGAGATCTTTCTTTAACTTTCATGTTGTTCTCGTCAATGCAAGGTATATCTTGACGAAAGCTCCCTTCACAAATTAAAAAAATGCATGTGAAAAGGGTGCGCGCTCATTGTCGCTCGCAAAAAGCCTGTAGCGCTTCGGGACCAAACGTTTCCAACCGCGCCGCGTTGGTGTACAAAACGACGCGTGAGCAATTGGATTTTACGGGGCCCGTATGTACTAAGCTAATGTTCCTAGTCAAATTTGCGTTTTGTTATTGTTGAGTATTGTTTCGCGCAGTTATGCTTGGTTTTTATTTGTGTGATCTTATTTAAGCTTCTAGAAACGATGCATGGCAAACTTTTGTGACGTTGATCACTAAAACAACACTTCTGCACATACTACTTACAAAAAAGATTTACAGCAGAGGTTCCCATCTGTATAATTTCTGTAATTGTAATCAGACTTGAAGTAACGAGCATAGCAGTACAAATCGATAACGATAAAATAGTGGTTTAAAACGAACACATTCATAACACGAAGGTTAACAAACAACTACAGTGAAAAAACCATAAAGAAACATGCGCAAAACATGAACTGAGAGCAGGTGTCGCGCTCTGCCGCCACTGGCCTGCTCTTGTTCAAATTTGAATCCGTCCACTGACCGACTAATGGGGTGAGGACGACAATGCCAGATCGCGCAGCGACTAAAAATGCGTGAGGTATGCCTTAGGCCTGTGATAAAGAAAGTTGCTCGAAGATACATAAGGCGCATGCATATTTCTAAGCATTAATCATGACATAGAACTTTCGATCCCCTTTTGTCACACATAACGGTGTCCAAGTGTTGAAGGCAGTGTCTCGCCGAGACTGAGAAGTGGGGATCTTCATGGGTTCTCTCATACGGTTCCCAAAAAAACCCCTGCTCAAGTCCAACCAGATCGGCATCCTCTGTTTCAAGAAAACTGCAATCAAATAGTTCGTAATCGGCAACCTGGGCAGCGTGTAATATGCAAAGCTCCGGTATTCAAATTTGAATGAGACACTGCCTTTGATAAAATCGAATTGACAAAAGTAATGCACCCCATATTATAAATGATGTCATTAATGGCCGTGCCACTCTCTCATAGTCACACTCGCTCAGTGGTTGCTTTCTGCGTTATTCGCACACGAAATTTGATCATTTTACAAAACCACTCCGAAAAGGAATTTTCTACGGCGTGCGCCACATTCTGCAACATGCCACACTTAATCCATTAAGGATGAATTGTAAAACCCGATATCTAGCGCGGCTGCTTCACCTTTCCCTCCTTTTTCTTCCGGCACTCATTATACAAAGTAGAAAAATGTACACATACTCCCATACACAAAGTATTGAAAATGTTGGAAGCATTTCAATAATTATTTTTGTTGTATTACAGTATGGAAGAAGATATTTACTATGCGGACTGCGATGGATTTCCAAAAATTCACTTCAGTATTGGTAACAACGTTTACACAGTCAAAGGACGCAATATACTTCTGAAACTGGAAGAATTTAAATGCTATTTGGCTCTGTCTAGCATTGATTCGGCTTCATTTGGGCCTAGCTGGATTCAGGAGCAGTTGAGCCGGGTGCTCTTTGGATTAAAAATCGAATTCTCCCTGTTAGCGCATTTCGACGCGCCGTGGTACTTATCGGAATTGCGTGTCAAGTTGGAATTTTAACATCTATCTACAGGAGCTGGAGAGGACTTGCCGTCGTTTGTAGCCTGCGTTGCGCAGTGGATTTGTTGCGCGAAACCTCGGGAGCCACATGTATTTTTGAGATTGCTTGTAGACGCGCATAGGTAGCATGGGATCCTCGTCCCGTGTTTCGCAGCAGTAGTAGTAACCTGTTCTTGGTTTAGTATTTTTTGTCTATTTTGAATGTAGTTTGTTGTCATAAGGATAAATCAGTTAATCTACCTCATGTTTCTTTCGGTTGCGCGTTAAGTGCGCAGTAGGATAGGTACGTCGCTTAGTAT